TGTGTATAAATGCCATCACACGAAGCGAAGCGTTCTCGAATTTTCGAATACACGCAAGAAGGAAAAGGTCTTCGTTTCCCTTTCCCCAAGATTTGAAAAACCCAGCGAGAACATCGACGATACGCCACTAGTCTATACAGTTTGTGCATTTTTTCCAAATCTCCATCATCGAGAGGCCAGTTTTCTTCAAGATATTGGCAAACATCTATCTTCAGAACACTTTCTGATAGCATATTTTCAATAAATTCCGGATGTCGCGTCAAACATTTTTCACCTTGTGCCTCTGTTTGATCAAGAAGTACTTCATACTCATCGTACTCCAGCGCTTTCTCTTGACAACAGAAACATTCAACAGCTTTTGTTGACTTAGTGCAATGTCCACATTTACACCAACTAATGTCTTGAAGGCGCCAAGCATTTGCTCTTTCAAACTCGTGATCGGCATATTCGTCAGACGAAGCTTCATCGCTACTTTGTTCGGCATCACTATCATCGCTAATATCGCTTGTTTCTGCAGCAGGTTCTGGCTCAAATTGGTAGGGTAACACTTCTCCTCTCTGGTTTTCGTGAATATTTTCCATTACTATCATAAAAAACTATAATTTCCTTGTAGAAACACAACAAATCTCGATAAACACAATACTAAATATATAGTGTTGTCTTGCTGCAACCCATCTAATGACGTCACATCCGCCAGAGATAATTTTTTTTGAAAAACGATTCAAAATGGCCGACAAGTTCTTGATTTTGGATGAAGTGAGATGCTCATTACTCATGAACTAAAGATTTTGGCAACGAATTAACATTACATCCATTATTAGATGATGTAACACTTTCAAAATATGCAATAAAAATTTTCGTTGCCAATGTCCTTTAAAGGTGCTTTAAATCATACTACTATTAAATTATATTCAATGGCAAATACTGAAAGAGCTATGAAAGTTGTTCTAGCGAAAAGGCCGAAAAGAGGGCTTGAACATTCGTTAAAAGACGAGACATTCAAATGTATCTCGGCCATAATGTAAAATGGTGAAGATGTTTTGGTTGTTTTGCCAACAGGTTATGGGCTTATTATGTAAAATATTTCAGCTGCTACCTGACGTGTTACTTGGCGTAACTAATTCTATCGTGATAGTCATATCTCCACATGAATAATGACCAAGGCATTTCTGCATGCATGATGTCAAAGTATGATACAAGGCCATTGTGTGATACACTATATTATGGTGATGGCAGCGATATCAAATTACCATTGGATCGACATGAGAACCTGACGTTTAAGCTGTTCTATATGCACCCAGAAATGTGTGTCTATGACAAGAAAATACAAGCTTTTTTCAACTGTATACTGTAAACCTCTGAATATAATGCTCACCTCATTCCAATTATAAGCCCCCCCCCCCAAATACAAGCCCCCCTGAATATAAGCCCCCTGAATATAACACGATTTATACGCGAGGCCTGACGAGGCTAAAGTATGCCCGTTCGCAGGTTAGATGCGGGCATGATGTAAACAATTGATGTAAACGAATCGCTGATTCGCTTAAATTGTCTTAAATTATATAAGCTCGTCGCTGAATGGCTATCTGTTAACACACGGTACGGTACGTTTGCGATGGCATATATATCTGCTTCGAAGATACAAAAATAGGTACGCGACGCGTACATGTATCTGCGAAAAAAACTTGATTCACATTTTGTATTTTCTTGAAAGAAACTGAATAATGAAGATGACATGGGACAATTGAAATATTTCATCACTTATTATAATAGCAGATAAGATTTAAAACAGGGCTGTACACAGCGGGGAGAGCGGCAGGGTAAGTCCTCCCCCCTCCCCACCCCCGCACCAAGAAAATTTAACTAACTTTATAAAGTGATTATGATTGTAACAGATAATTATGCAGTCAGAAAATAAAAATTTCATGCAAACAATATTCAAAGTGTCTATACAGCCGGCTATTTAGTAAACTGTCACCTGTCAATTCAATCCACACTCATCAAATTTTCAAAACTTTATTGTAATCATATGAAGCAAAAGTTATGTCACTTGTTGTTTACACTTGCCAATGTTAACTGTTGAGTAACATACACAAAATATTTGGTGAACATGTCGAAGACCACTGAATAATTGAGAATGTTTTGAAGGTCATGAGTGAAGTATATAATTAAATTCCAGTTCTGTGCACAGTTAATGATATACCACACTGTTCGGTTTAACACGTACAGCACATTCACACAAAAACAATTGTGTTGTGGGAGATTATCGGTTTGAGTAAAAAGTATCACAAGTTTAGTTTTGTCCATTGTGTGCCATTAATCAAATCCACCATATAATATATGATTATTCATTGTAGCTGTTAGGCCTAAGTTATTTTCCATACTAATGAATTTAGGTAAGATTGTTTTGCAAGTGGTTGTTCTGACAAAATTATCCAGCCAATATCCAGTACATTTATTCTTCATTCTTGTATTAATCTCCCAAAAAAAATATTTATGTTAGAAAGCAAAATGACAATGTAATGAGGCTCGGGAGGGTGAGGATTCTTTTATTTGAAAATGTTGGTAAAAATTTTGTTTAGTTAACTCTAAGGCCACATAAAATAAATTCCTTGATTCTCATCACCGCCCGACTGTATTTTAAGAGCCGCGTGAATTTTTTTTATATTTTGTTATACAATATAAATGTACCGCCCGACAAAATATTTCAAGACAGTTAAGTTTTTTATATTTTATATTGGGTTTTTAGTGCCATTTTTTAAACTGCCAATTTCAAACAAATAGAACCTTGAAAGAAATTTCATTGCATTTTAACGGAACTTCGCATTCAGTTCAAGGGCCAGTCATTGTTCGTGGAGAAATATGTTTATTTCAGTTTGTGACACTTTTATGTAATGATATATATATATATATTAAATTATATAAATATAAAATATAAACCTCCCGCCTCTTCGACATTTTCAAAGTGTAGTGATGAGAATCAAGGAATTTATTTTATGTGGCCTAATGTGTAAAACCAAAATGTATAAGTATTTTAACTGAGAACATCTTCAACCTTTGTCCTAACACTACATTTGATGACAGCTTTATAGTTGGACTGTTGTTTTGAACAGAGTTACGGAGTCAATATACAGAAATACAGGACCAGGATTTAATTCAATATCTCCTGAGAATGTTTTCACTGTTTAAAATATTGCAGAAGTCACAGAAGGATTGTTTTTAATACTGTATAAATCTTTTTGTGAACTATGTTGACAAATGGCTTAAAATATCCTCGCAAATATCCAATATTTTATACAGTGTAATATATTAATAAAAAAATTCCAGAGTGCATTCCTTGTAAACTCTACGCCGAAGATACGGCAATATTAACTATAGATAGTATTGTAAATATTTGCCGAACTGGCGAACTCATGTATTATAAAATACGTGGGACATATATTTGCACAAATTTGGTATTTAAATATATAATATGTGGTATTTGACTACTTACCAGATGAGGATAAGACTCCATATTGATAAATAACTTCGGAATAATATCGCAAGTAGATAAATTGATCCCAATTCAAGATAAATTGATAAAAATATCAAGATATTTTTGAAAGAATATAAAACACGATTTATACACGAGGCCTGACGTACGAGGCTAAAGTATGCCGGTTCGCAGGTTAGATCAGCGGGCACGATGTAAACAATTGATGTAAACGAATCGCTGATTGGCTTAAATTGGCATAAAATGGTTTAAAATATATAAGCTCGTCGCTGAATGGCTATCTGTTAACATACGGTACGGTACGGTAACAGTACGTTTGCGATAGCATATATATCTGCTTCGCAGATACAAAAATAGGTACGCGACGCGTACATGTATCTGCGAAAAAACTTGATTCACATTTTGTATTTTCTTGAAAGAAACTGAATAATGAAGATGACATGGGACAATTGAAATATTTCATCACTTATTATAATGGCAGATAAGATTTAAAATAGGGCTGTACACAGCGAGGAGTGCAGCAGGACAAATTCTACCCCCACCCCCGCACCGAGAAAATTTAACTAACTTTATAATGTGATTATGATTGTAACAGATAATTATGCAGTCAGGAAATAAAAATTTCATGCAAACAATATTCAAAGTGTCTATACAGCAGGCTGTTTAGTAAACTGTCACCTGTCAATTCAATCCACACTCATCAAATTTTCAAAACTTTATTGTAATCTTATGAAGCAAAAGCTATGTCACTTGTTGTTTACACTTGCCAATGTTAACTGTTGAGTATCATAAACAAAATATTTGGTGAACATGTCGAAGACCACTGAATAATTGAGAATGTTTTGAAGGTCATGAGTGAAGTATATAATTAAATTCCAGTTCTGTGCACAGTTAATGATATACCACACTGTTCGGTTTAACACGTACAGCACATTCGCACAAAAACAATCGTGTTGTGGGAGATTATCGGTTTGAGTAGAAGGTATCACAAGTTTAGTTTTGTACATTGTGTGCCATTGATCAAATCCACCATATAATATATGATTACTCATGGTAGCTGTTAAATTATTTTCCATACTAATGAATTTAGGTAAGATTGTCTTGCAAGTTTGTTGTTCTGAAAAGAAATTCTTATAGTTTCAACCACGAGTTTACCCGACATAACCACACTTTATTTAAACCATCTTATACCACAGGGAATGTTTAGGGTATAGAGCTAAAAAGTATACAGTACCTATAATGTGATTCAATTAAGATTAACTGTTACCAATATTAACTATTACTAATGACGGGGCCACGTGTATATAAACTAATGTATTGATATCAAAGTCTCTTTCAAACCTTACTACATGGTAGCAGCGGTGGAATACTCGAGTGACCAAAAGAAATTAAATAAACTTATTATAAACTAATAAGCACAAACGATATAAAAACAACAAAACAAAAACATAGTATACGTACGTGTGAAATAGAGTACAAGAAACCTATTTCAGCATATAAGTTAAATATGGCAGAACCAAACGAGGTAAATACCGCGAGAAGTTTCACAACATATCAAGTGACACCTCCGTCGAAGTTTAGCTTTAAATCCTCGGAGTGGACCCGATGGATTCGTCGCTTTGAGCGATTCAGATTTGCGATAGAACTCGACAAGAAAGAGGAAGCCAAACAAGTCAACGCGCTTATATATACTATGGGCGACGAGGCAGATGACATAATAACATCGCTTGGTCTCAGCGAACAAGAAATGAAAAGCTACGAAACAGTTCGAGACAAGTTTGAAAATCACTTCATCGCCAAACGAAACGTTATTTTCGAAAGAGCAAAGTTCAACGTTCGAATTCAAGACGAAAACGAACCTGTCGAAAGTTTTATTACCGACCTGCATTGTCTTGCTAAATATTGCGAATTTGACGTATTAAAGGATCAGCTAATAAGAGATCGCATCGTCGTCGGACTGAGAAATAGAAAGTTGTCTGAGAAATTACAATTAGATCCAGATCTTACTTTGGCGAAAACCATGGCTCAAGCCAGACAAAGCGAGGAAATCAAGAAACAACAAAACATTATTCATGGACAAAAATCGACCGGAAGCAGCGAGCATAATATTGACAACATTTCTAAGAATAGAAAACAACCCTCGCGGGATTCGCGCGAAAAAAATTTTAACGACAGAAAATACGGCAAAATGGACGGCAAACCCAAATGTACGCGGTGTCTCGGACCAGCGCACTCCAGGCAATTCTGCCCAGCAAGTGAGTCCATCTGTAATAACTGTTCAAAGAAAGGACATTGGGCAAAAGCATGTCGAAGCCAAGCAAGCCAACAACTTCGCAAGAAACAAGTTAACGAACTAACTTCTCGCCAAGAAACCGAGGAGGAAAGTTCGTCTGAGGAAGATGTCTACTTTTTGGGCGAAGTCGTACACCTCGACACTATCAATAAATCTGGCAATAAACCGTGGACTGCAGACATAAAGGTAAACGAAACAAATATTTTATTCAAAATCGACAGCGGCGCTGACGTCACAGTGATACCTTTAACAGTATATCAACAACGAAAACTACAGTCAACACTCAAGTCGACTGGCAAATTACAAAATGAACTGTATAGGAACATTCAATTCACAGCTGCGACACGAGGACAAGACAACTACAGAAGAAATATTCGTCGTTAAAGGACTCGAAAGATCATTATTAGGAAGACACAGGGGCGGATCCAGCTCTTGAGCTGACTGATGCATACATAAGACCTCGCATTTGTAGGGGGGTCCAGGGGTATCCTCCCCCGGGAAATTTTGAAATCTAGGACCTCGGAAATGCGATTTCCTGCGTTCTGAGCGAACTCTTTTGTTGCAATTCCTATATCAGAGTCACAAAAATTTTGCTGCATTTTTGGAAAAACACGTAAAAAACTTGAACCTATATCGCAAAAAAAACATAATTTCTCCACATAAGAAAAATTTTTTTGCTTGTACAAGTGTAATAGCAGCAGTGGCAATAAGTCTCTATTAAAAAATAGTCAGTGCTGTGCTTCTTGTAGCCTTAACTTTTCTATTGAAAAACATTTCGGCAGAAAATCACGACAACGCAAATACACACATACTGTGTAACAAAGGTGTATACAGTGTGCTCCACTAGTTGCATTGCTGGACTCAGAAGACAGTGTTATTATGTTGTTTATGAACCACCTTCCCCTATTAATTTCCAATGTTCCATGAGTAAAATCTTCTAGCATTAGAATTTAAAGTAAAATAACATATCATGGTGCATAAAGATTAAAGGTATTTTGTGCTTTACTGAGTAAATATATGCAACTCTGTCTTATGCTGCTAATCTTACTCTGCATGGACAGTGTGGTTGGCATCAGCTGGTCAATTTCATTTGCCCCTAGGCTAGCTGCCTTTCAGATGAACTGCATGGTGAATAGCCCACACTCTGGATACTGAGAATATTGCCTTGTGGCGAGGAAACCAGTAAACTAACACACAACAAACACTGGGTTGAAAATTATATAAATAAATAACTAGGTACTCACACGTTTTAAATCAATAGAGACTGTGTGTAAATTAATTTAATGAAGCTATCTTAATTGGAAATTGTTTGTTAAATAAACCAATACCAAACTGTACAATGATAAACATGACATAATTTAATCATATGTCTTCTATCTGTCCCCTTTTGCCTGCCTTTCAACTAATATTAATACAGTGCTCCTTTAAGAAAGGTTGCACGGTAGTATTGATGAATACTTAAGAGAGGATGTCCACAAAAATCAAACATAAAGCGGTCACGACTGAAAAATCGATTTTGCTCAAATTTTGCCCAGATATACCTTATTATATCGGAAAATGCACCATATATTTTTTAAGGTCAAATTCTTTTTTAACTTTGAGAAAATGCCGTTTTAACACGACCACCCTAAATCGCCATTTTTGGGGGGAAAATATGCGCTGATTTTACAGATAAATTTCACGACGACAACCGTTTCTAATCGATCTAAAACCCTAAAAATCTTGTTTTCGGTTATTCAAAGGACTGTGTACATGACTTACAGGAAATCTGAGTTACTTTTAGGAATAGAAATAATCGTAGTTTTGGAGCACACTATCTTACTTCATTTACGATACCCTCTTAACAAAATCGATTTTCACCATGCGATAAAGCTCCAAATCGATCATGCTTCTACTAGTTGGCTCTTTAATAAACAAGCTTTCAATTGACGTAAATACTTCTTTTGGCAAATAAATACGCGATAAACGACAGCGCGTTGAAATCTTCCGTTTTTGACGTCTTGCAAGTCAAACGCTGTTAATTTATACACCGTCAAAGTAAACAATTTAATCAAGTATTCTAAGTATTTTACCTTTTGAGAAAAAACGTATTCTTGAATGGGGACTTTTCGCTTTGCTAAGTTTAAAAGTGGTCCAGAAATCCCGGTATATTTGTAAAAAAAATCATCAAACATCCAGTATTTTGAGACATTGTTGACGGTTGCATGATAACTTCAGATCATTATTCAACGTGATTTACGACCCGGCCGTTTGACTTTAGCGCTAACATATACAAATCGATGAGCTATTTAAGGATTATATTTGCTACTAAATTCCCCAAAAGAATTGGAACTACAACTGCTGTTTTCAGAGGTTTTGATCCATTTTGTCCATATTAATGTACCATTTTATTTATCGACTGATGTTTACAAATACATAAGTTAATTATTAAGCAGCTGTTAGCGTGCGTGTACATGTGAAATGAACGTTTATAATGTTTATCCATATAAGGAGTTTTTATTTTTAGTTTACCAGCCCTTATATTTGAATAGTCGTTTTCTTTCAAGTTGTTTACTTTTTTATACTCTGCAAAGTTGATTCCGAAATGTTAAGGTATTCGAAAAAACTATCGAACTTTTCCATGATATTTACAGAGAAACGTCACAGCTGTAAACCCCCCTCTCCCACCCCCAAAACGAACATGGACGTTTCTTGTGGAAAAAATCGATATGTGAGGCTTCCCTAAAACTGCAAGGTTTACACTATTGAATTAAAATCCCACAGACCACAACGATTATATACGTATTGATTGTTTCTTGACGATAGTAGACGCGCACGTGCATGTTACGGAAGAGGTTATTTCGCTGCATGGCCTCAGAGTGACAACAGGTACCTTGGTTCTAGAGGTTTAAAATAATAAACCTCTGTTTGAAAGCGGCAATTAATTCATCGAGCCGCGCCAATCAGCTTGAATTAGGGTAGATAGTTATGATAAGACAAGGGCGGCGCCAGGGCTGCCCATGCAGGGAGGCGGCAAAGGGGGCAATTTTCTCCGCGATCCCAGCTCAAGGAAGACAGGCAAATACAAATTTGCAAGGCGATAATAAGTTTGTCGACGAAGGGGGGTAATTGTGGTTCACCGGGGCCCCAAGGGTATAATTGGCCCTGGGGCCCCATATTTCACTGAGCTGGTTTGGGCTGCGCCAGTATTTCTCCGACGGGGGGAGTCATCAGTGCTCTCTTTTGATCTTTGTCAATTGGCATTAAAACCGCAAGAACTACCGACAAGTGACCAGGGCCGGATTAACGTCGCGCGAGGCCCGTGGCAAATTTTAGCGCGAGGCCCCCAAACCTCCCCCTTTCCGCTTTTTATGAAAACCATTGAATTTAAAGACACACAAAAGTGTTAAATAATTTTTTTTCAATATTTCAATTTATTTGCATCAATTATAAACGAGATAATGGCCTGCCTGGCGCAGTTGGTGGATATAAACAGGATCATAATATAACAGCTCAACGCAACTAGAGATTATATGAACACGAGTATTGCATATTTTCCCGGGGCCGGCCGTGCTAGGGCGAACTGCCAAGCCTAGGGGCCCTAAATGCGCGAGGTCCCTAAATTCGCGAGGCACCTAAAATGGGTGTGTCACAATAGAAAATGGCCGTGTTCTCGTAAAAATGGGCGTAGCACAGTAAAGCGCGAGGCCCGCGGCATTTGCCGTATTTGACACGTGGTTAATCCGGCGTTAAACGAGCAACAAGCTTTCATTTTCTTTAAACGCGACGTGTGGGGAGACAATAATAATTTGTGGTGTCGCGCACTGGGCCAAGATATCTCAATGCTGTATTTTTGGGTACTAGTACTTGTGAAATATAATAAGATCAATAGACATTAGTGTATCAAAATAAAGTAATTTTACTGATTATTTTAACTCTGCCTCAAAGTAAACACACATTATTCTAAACTACAGTATTTGCTATATGCCTATAATTTGAGTTTGAGGTGGTAGAATGATCTAGAATATATAATAAAATAACAAATCCTTGTATGGTAAATGTTCATTTCACACGCACGCTATTAACAGCTGCTTAATAATTAACTTATGTATTCGTAAACATTTATACTCGATAGTCGATATGTAAATACTAAATGGTACATTATATGGATCAATGCAAACTGTAACAAAACAACAATTGTCAATTGAAGTTCTAATTTTGGGAAATTTAGTAACAAATATAAAATCCCTAAACAGCTCATCGATTTGTATGTTTGCGCTATTAAAAGTAGACAATATTGAACAATGATCTGAAGTTGTCATGCAACTGACAACAATATTATATTTCAAAATACCTGTATATGATGATATTTTACAAATATCTCTGGATTTTTGGACCAATTTTAAACTAAGCAAGGCAAAAAGTCTCCATTCAAGAATATATCTTCTTCTCAAAAGGTAAAATACTTAAAATACTTGATTAAATTGTTTACTTCGACGGTATGTAAATTAACAGCGTTTGACTTGCAAGACGTCAAAAACGGACGATTTCAACGCGCTGTCGTTTATCGCGTATTCATTTGCCAAAAGAAGTATTTACGTCAATTGAAAGCTTGCTTATTAAAGAGCCAACTAGTAGAAGCATGATCGATTTGGAGCTTTATCGCATGGTGAAAATCGGTTTTGTTAAGAGGGTATCGTAAATGAAGTAAGATAGTGTGCTCCAAAACTACGATTATATCTATTCCTAAAAGTAACTCAGATTTCCTGTAAGTCATGTATACCGTCCTCTGAATAACCGAAAACAAGATTTTTAGGGTTTCAGATCGATTAGAAACGGTTGTCGTCGTGAAATTTATCTGTAAAATCAGCGCATATTTTCCCAGAAAAAATGGCGATTTAGGGTGGTCGTGTTAAAACGGCATTTTCTCAAAGTTAAAAAAGTATTTGACCTAAAAAAATATATGGTGCATTTTCTGATATAATAAGGTATATCTGGGCAAAATTTGAGCAAAATCGATTTTTCAGTCGTGGCCGCGCAATGTCTCATATGTTCGATTTTTACTGACATTCACTCTTAATTTTCCCTATATTATCTTGTCAAATATATCCATACACTTATCAATGGTAATCGTAATCTTCAGGGTGGCATGCTGGCTATCCAAAACATAATACTGGGATTATTAGCATTACAAATATATAATTTAATTAAATATATTTTCCAAACTATCCCACTTTTGTGAGCAAATTTCATAATTATAACCTGTATACACCAGTTACAGTATATACAGTATTTATACCGTCCATCATTTTATCATTGGTTCTAAGATTAAATCTGTCAGGAAAATGTCATATGATATATACAGCTTATATCAAATTATATTTGCGCAGACAAAGCATATAAAC